TGTACCCAAATAGTAGATACATTGGCCCCAAAGTACTCTTATAGGGACTGCTTTAAGGCCAAAGTACATCTATTTGGGCACATGGACCCTTAGGGATCTATTAATCCTAAGCAGCCCTTTACAGTTCGTGCTGCCACCTTGCCTCACACTCCTCCAGTTGAAGATCTCGTGGTGTCGCTGGAACCTGCTTGAGCTGCTTGCCCTTTGGGGTGTAGGGTTTTGCTTTGAATATTATACTATAGAAAAACCCAAAACCCTGAGCCCTAAACCTTAAAGCCCCAAACCCCCTGCCCTAAACCCTAAACCCTAAACCCGAAGCCCTAAGCTCTAAACCTTAAACTATTGAGCTGAGAGTTTGTTTAAGGTTCAGCGCTTGGAGACGAGAACACGGGGTGGGGACCATCAGCCCTTGCTTTACTTTAAGGGCATGTGAGGCTGAGGATTATTATTGGGGGGGTTTACGGTTTTAGTCTAGTGTTTAGGTGTACAGAGGGTTCAGAGTTTCAGGGGTTTTGGAGTTAGGGGTAGAAGGCTTTGGCTTTAGGGCTCTGGACTTTGATGATATAATATTCCAGCTGCCTGCTTCTACTGTAGAGTCGACCTGCGTGCAGGGCTCTCGACGGTTCGTTTAGGGTTTAGGGTTCTGGGTTATATATATATATATATGACGCTTCAGGATTTCTACATAAGATACTATTGAGAGTTGAAGTTCAGAGGTTAGCGACTGAAGTCTACTTAGGAGACACATGGCGAGACCGAAACGCAGATAACTTCACCTGTCCACAAATCAAAGGCAAAAGCCCTCAACGCCTTCATCCCTAACGCTAAACCCCCCTAAACCCCTAAACCCCTCAACCCTAACCCCCACCACCTAAAAATCGAAAACCCTAAACCCTAAACCGAAAAACTCTAAACCCCTGGCCCAAGCCCCTAAAACCCTAAACCCCTAAACCCCAAGCCCCTAAAACCCAGGACATTTCGGGCATCTCCACCTGATCCGTCCGATGGCTGTTGACTGGGCTCTCCCGGTGCTGGTAGTACCTGGCCCGAAAACCAACAAAAGACCTTCCAATAACTTTCTTCATCCAGGCTTTAGGGCTTAGGGTTTAAGAGCTTAGGGTTTAAGGGCTTATAAGGGTTTAGGGCTTAGGGTTTAAGGGCTCAAAAGGGTTTAGGGCTTCGGGTTTAAGGGCTTAGGGTTTATCGGGTTTAGGATTAAGGGTTTATAGGGTTTTAGGGTTTAGGGTTTAGGGTTTATAGGGTTTAGGGTTTAGGGTTTAAGGGCTTTGGGATCCTACTAGAATTCAATTTCTACTCCTTAACTCAGGGAGTTTGGAAGGTCTGGCTTCGGGTACAGGGATGAAGGAGTACTTGGAGGATCATGGGACTTAGTAAGTAGGGTTCTAAGTACCTTAATTGGGGCTATAACTAATTATAAGTATAGTTACCTTCATTATAACCATAGTTACAAAATCCCATGATCCTTTAAGTAGGGTTTAGCGGTTAGGGCTTGCTTGTGCAGCGTCCTAGGGAAGCTATAGGCTCACCTGTGGAGTTGTTTTTTGGAGAGTATAGTCCCCCAATGATAAGGTTCAATGTCACGGATTGGACTGCTGGGAAAATCAACACGAAGGATGGTTGAAGGTGTAGGGATTAGGGTTCAGAGTGTAGGGGTAGGAACTATATAGGGTTTAGGGATGCAGGGACTATAGGGTATCTTTAGGTTTTCGGAGCTTAGGGTTTAGTATTACCCTCAGTCCTTCTTCTGCGGATCTCTGAAATGCGTTTATCTTGGGGGCATCTTATGCAGTCCAGGGTCTAAATGAAAATGTCTAACGAAAGCACCGCCGCAAGATGGTCGTTCAGGGTTTTGTGTTCATAGTACTTCGGCTTCGCGTAGCATTTGGCACAGTTGGGTGTGGAACAGTTCGAAGAGCAGACCAGCAACAGATGATACTGATCCTGACAGCCCTGCAAACAGAGGTAACGGCCTGATCGGGCCTTCCTGGAACCCACCCCCAGCTACCCTGTCATGCAAATTGAATTCTCACCCACGCAGGCTCGACAATGCCAAACGTCCTAAACCCCTGACCCCAGTAACCCCATACTATATGTAGCCTGAAATTAAACGTTTAAGACCTACTAAAACCTCATACAAGCCTATAAAACCCTGTACAAGCCTATATAAACACTATGAAATCCTACAAGCCCTACAAGCCCTTATAAACCTGATCTGCAATCCCAGGTGCACAGCGCGTGGCGTCGGACTCTCGGAGTCCGAACCAAAAGCGAGAGGGAGAACCTCCGGGCTTCCCAGGGTTTAGGGTTTAGGGTTTAGGGTTTAGGGTTTAGGGTTTAGGGTCTTCCCCTATCCCTTACCCTCTATACAGACTCTTAAAGGACCCCTTTAAAGGAACCCTTAAAGGGTACATTATACTATTTGGGTTACATGGACCCTTACTGCATCCCTTACCCTCTATAAGGACTCATATTTTAAGGCTTTTGGGCCCAAACTTTGGGCTATTTCGATGCCAAGGGTATGGCCCCATGAACCCGAAGCGGTTTCTTTAAGAGTTCCGTTACAGGGGTCCCATAAGGGTTCCTAAAAGGTTCAACAGCGAGGTTCACGGGACTTAGTAGCTAGGGTTGCAAAGACGGCTTAGGTTTGATTGAAACGCCAGTTTAGGTACAGTACGTTTTACTGTAAATACCAAGTCGCATGAACCTCCAGGTATGGCTCCATGTACCCTATAAAGTATATTATATATATATATATGTACTTAGGCCTTGAAGGGGGTTCGACGAAGTATATACACCCTAAACCCTAAGCCCTTAAACCGTTCAGCCCTACACCCTAAACCCTAAGCTGTGAACCATTAGACCCTAAACCCTTAAACCCTAAACCCTTAACCCGAAACCCTAAACCCTTAAATCTTCAACCCTAGAATTGGCACGGGGAGCCTCAGGGTGCTTCCAGTGGCTCTACACGTGTTTGACAAAAGTTCCATAAGGGATCTAGAGCCCTATAATACCCTTATAGACCCCTAAGGGAACCCTTAAAGGAGCCCTAAAAGACCTGTATAGAACCCTAAACCCTAAAGCCTCAACCCTAAACCCTACAATCGGACCACAAAACCTTTGTGCAACTCTATAATATAACTACCCTTAAAGAACCCTAAACCCTTACCGAATAGAAGACCCTGAAGGCAACCCTTAAAGGAACCCTATACGACCATTATAGAAACGCCCTTCTAGAACCCTGAAGGAACCCTTAACGGAACCCTTAAAAAACCTTACAGGAACCGCTCAGAGCCTTCGAGGAATCCCCGAGCGTGAAATACCGCGAAGCTGTGGGCGTCTCAGCCTGGCAAATCGAGCCTCACTGGGCTCCCTTTAAGCGGGTTTAGGGTTGAGGGATTTGGATTTAAGGTTTAGGGTTGAGGGATTGGGACTTATAAGGTTTAGGGTTGGGATTTAAGGTTTAGGGTTGAGGGATTGGGATTTAAGGTTTAGGGTTGAGGGATTGGGATTTAAAGCTTAGGGTTGAGGGATTAGGATTTAAGGTTTAGGGTTGAGGGATTAGGATTTAAGGTGTAGGGTTGAGGGATTAGGGTTTGGGGTTGAGGGATTGGGGTTTAGGGCTTAGGGCTCAGGCTTGAAGATTTACGGTTTCAGCTTTAGGGTTGAATTTAAGGCTTCGGGATTAGGGTTTAGGCTTCCTATAGCAAGTGCTATAAGGGTCTTATCAAGGGCTGGGTTTAGGGTTCAGGGCTGGCAAAAAGGGTCGTTCCCGAGCTCTTTACGACTTTAGGGGGGACGGGAGGGGGGGGGGGGCTTCTTTGGGCTCTGTGAGGGCACTAATTGTAAGGCTGGGATAAGGGGTCAGTTATTCGAGGCTTTTCGGATTTCTGGGCTTCCGGCTTAGGGCTCGGTTTGAGGTTCAATTTACGGCTCTGTTGTCTGTAGGCCACTCGAGGGCCTAACGAATAGTAAGGAATACACCGTCTTGTAGCACTGTAGCAGAAGGTAAACCTCACTGCCAGCAGCGCCTTGGAGGTTTAGGATGGGAGCCCTAAATCCAGGATCGGAAAGACACCGTGGCACCCGAAATTCTGGAATCTCAAATCAAACAAACCTGAAGCCCTGATCAAGAATATAGGGGCTTTAATAATCAGAATAGGGTTTGGGGGCCCATTATACGACAATTATGATGAGGAACCCCCTAAAAGAGTGTTGGTAGATATTTAGGCCCCCACATGAAATCAGGCCCAAAACCCTAAACCCTAAACCCTAAACCCTAAACCCTAAACCCTAAACCCTCAACCAACCAACCAACCTAAATCGAGCCTTCCCCTTCGGACCCTGCAGCCTCTACGCTTCTGTAGACACAAAGTTAAGAGGGCCTCCTCCACGGGTGGCAGCATAAAGCCACCGTGGGAAGCTGAAGGCTGATCCGCAGCCCTTGATGTCTGGGTTTAGGGTTTAGGGTTTAGGGTTTAGGGTTTTGGGGTTTGTAGGGCTTATACGGTTTCGGGTTTTGGGGCTTAGGGGGGTTTTAGAGTTAGGGTTTCCCGGAACCCCCGACTTGAGGGCTTGCAGGATTGAGATTTCAGCTAGAGGCAAAGTACTGAAGTAGTGTATCAATGCTTAACAGAATGATATCGCTCTGATCGGAAAAGGGTCGCAGCTGTAGCAGCAGTAGCAGCAGCAGCAGTAGCAGCCGTCAATGTTGCTGTTCTTGCAATAGTTGGTGCAGCAAACAGCAACGGCAACAGGGAAAACAACCACACCAGTAGGAAGAGCAGTTGCAGTCCCTTTTTCGACTGTCTCAGAGTATGAAGGGTGCCGAGTTACTGTGATGTGTGCATGCGGGTGCAAATTGCTCAAGCTCCGAACCGTGACCACCAAGCTTGTTTGCCACACGATTCTGCATCACCCAACACTTAACTCGGAACCGCCAAAGCCTCATGAAACTTGCCCCCTCAACCCTGATCCCAGCATCTGAACCTGCAACCCCAACCCCCCACGTCCCAAACATTCTAAAACCATCTAAGCCCTGCTCCTGCCTCCAGTCTAGCTCCTTTTGGGTTTCTCCCTTTGAAGGTGAGGTTCCATTAACAAGCGCACGAGAAAACCCAGACCGCAAAATACACAGAGAGTGTAGAAAAGAACTACAACCTGCTTCTGCAAACCCTGAACACAATATCGGCATTCGAAGCCCCAACCCTTAACCAGAAACCCTAAACCCAACTGTTGCATCTTCATCCACTGAGACCTAAACCCAGCTAAAGCAGTTGCCAAACTCCGTAAGCCCTAATCCCCAAGCCCTTTATCAGTAACCCACCAAAACCCCGGAAACCAGACCGTCCAAAACGAGAACCCTCTATCCTCGATAAAGATGAGCCACCTGCAGCCCCAAAAAATCCCATGAACAACAGGCTAGTTAGTCTTATCGAGATTCAATGGGAATATTTATAGGAGTCTGATAGGTAATCTTACAGAATTAGAAAGCTCATCAGAATCATTACAATGTTTTGTTAGACTTGGAGCTCTCTCTTAAAAACCGAGTAGACCTCAACCCTAAGCCCTCAACCCTAAACCCTAAACCAGGGTGCTCGTATTCCGGTGTCGAGCTTGGGGAACCCAGGGGAGCTGCGTCCTGCGTGAGCACAGAGAGCCTAGGGGGTTTAGGGTTTAGGGGTTTAGAGGGTTAGTTTAGGGTTTAGGGTTTAGGGTTTAGGGTTGAGGGTAGGGCCGAGGGGGTTTAGAGATATCAGGCTTTTGGATTTCGGGTTCACCTGAACCCCAAATTGCCGACCTCTGTTGTTCCCGAACTTTCTAAGGGTTGATGTATATGATGCCTCTACAAAAGTCCTTGTAACCCTAAACCCTAAACCATAGCATTAGAGAGTGAGGGCTTTGGGGTTTAACTAGGGTGGAAGGTTTGGGATTTAGTCGAGCTTCCAGTTGAGGGTTTAGTCCCCAAAGGCTCCATGTACCCACATAGTACATACTTAAACCTTAAGTTAAAGTACCTATATAGGGACCCATTAAAGGCCTAAGTATCTACTATAAAGGTACGTGGAGCCTTTGAGGTATAGGGTTTGGGAGGGCGTAGAGTTTCGGAGCAGCGCCCGCAATCCTAAAGCGCACCGCAACCTCTGACAGCTTTACACTTCAATTCAGGTTACGGCAGGGCAAGGCAGAGCAGCAGAGGAGCCTTTTTGGGGGGCTGTTGCGCCGGCCTGGGGGATTAGGGTGATTGATAGCGGGGAGAGACTTCCGCTGCTGGGTCCGCTGCTGGGGTGCTACGGGCCCCCATGCCCATGGAGACAGGTGGGCGGCCTAGCCCCCTAGGCCCCATAACAGTCCCTTTTTGGGATTACCGAATAGGATCCTAAATATAAGCCACAAAAAGCAACTACTATAGGGCCTATGGGTAGAGTTCAGGTGTTTGGGGTTTCAGGCTTAGGGGTTTAATGCTTTAGCGTCTACTTTGGGAACTGGGGTTATAATTAAGTTAGCCATACTTATATATTTTTTTATAACCCCAATGAAGGTACTTTTAACCATACTTACTAAGTCCCATGATCCTCCAAGTAGGCGGTCCTGATGGATCGCCTGAGCTGGCATCACAGGCACAAGTAATGGCACTGCGATGATGCGCAGCGGCATGCCTGGAGCTCCAGGCTCGGGGCTTTTGGGGTTTGGGCTCTTAGGGTTTAGACCTTATAGGGTTTGCTTTGGGGTTCTGTAGGGTTTATAGAACTTCGGGTTTAGTTTGGGGTTTTGGGATTTGGGGTTTAGGTTTCGGGGTTTAGGGTTTTAGGCTTCAGGCTTTTAGGGTTCAGGACATAGGGTGCTGGGGATTATAGCGTAAGTATAATAAGGAAGCCCCCGAATAAGATAGGTATTTATTGAGGCCCCTATATTAGGTACTCCGGGTGCCGCTTTTTGCAGGACTCGAGTAGCGCCGGGCTGCATTGTCTACCTCTACACACTATACCCTGAGTCCGTCACCCTAGACTACTAGCTCCAACGAAAGATTTCGGGACTTGGGTAGTCGGTGTAGCGAACGGTGGTCTTTCCTAAACCCTACACCCCAAACCTGAAAAGCATTGAGTCCTAAACCCCAAACCCTAAAAGCTTTAAGCCCTAAACCCCAAGCCTAAACCTAAAAAACCTTAAGCTTGAAACCCCGAGCCCTACTGAAACCCTAAAACCTGAACACTAAACCTTAACCCCTAAAGCCCAAACCTTAAAGCGTAAACGCTAAACTCGGGTTCAGTAAAGAAGGGTTTCCCTCTCGAGGGTTTTGGGTGTAGGGTTTGGGATGTATGGGGACTTGGGCTTTGGGCTTAATTAAATAACGGTTAAGGGTTTAGGGTTTAGGGTTTAGGGTTTAGGGTTGGCTTCATTAAATAGTTGCACCAGAACATGGTCACACATATAGCTTAAACACCGCATTCATTAGGCTAATGCTTTCTGCTCCCTTCTTCGTCTAAGCTGTGGAAGTCAGCCCATCACATTTGACCAATAACGTCTCTACACGGTCGAACTGCCGGGGTTTGATAAAAAGGGCGGCTTGCTTCCTATCCGGATCGTATACACTCACTCTGCTTTCTTCCGAAAAGACAGCCGATGAGGTCACAGGACTCCAGGTGGGGTAGTGGCCTTCCGACCAATTGCTGTATGTTGTTCCTTTCTTTTTTGGCCGGCGCCCCTGCCACCCCAGACATGGGCCTAGAGGCAACAAACCCTCACTGGTTGGAACTAAAATGTTTTTGCCGGTACCCCCTCCCTGACATCAAGGGCTGTCTTTTCATATGTATGTGTGCTCAATAATTACCTGGAGTAAAACCTATCTTATTTTGGGGGTTCCTCATAATACTTGCACTATAATGGGCCCCAAAACCCTATTCTCATTCTTAACCTGCGAGCTTCTGAGCGATCTTACCCGCCGGCCTCTCTTTGAGGCCCAAAGGGTCTACTACTTGGAGGATCATGGGACTTAGTAAGTAGGGGTATAAGTACCTTAATTGGGTTATAAGTAATTATAAGTACCTTATTTGTAACCCTAGTTACTAAAGTCCCATGATCCTTTAAGTATATGGGTGCTCCGAGCTTGAAAGTCCACTTAACAGGTGTATAGGGCCGATTTCAGGGTCAGGACTAAGGGCCTGCAGGCATCAACGCATCAATCCTGAGCGATGTTTTAATAACCCTTGCCCTTAGGGTTTAGGGTTCAGGGTTTAGGGTTTAGGGCTCTAAGGACTCATATGCTAAGGCTTTTGGGCCCAAAGACCCTATTCTAGAAGGCTTTTGGGTTATGTTGATGCCAAGGGTAATAGAGCCCTATAGGGTTTAGGGTCTACAGGGGTTTATAGACGCTACATGTTTATTGGCCTTTAGCATAGTGATGAAGCACTACACCTCAAACCTAAGCCCGGTGCCCAGAACAACACGCCCTAAAACTAAACACAAACACAAAGCAATAACAACGAAACCCAAAGCCCTGGCCCAGGCCCCCAAGCTCGAAACCCTAAATCAGAAGCCCTAAGCGCAGAGCCTGAAACCCTCATTAAGCCCTATCGGGCTAAGGCTTTTAATATAATAACCTATTGGCACATCTGCTTCAGAGGCACAGAGCGGCGCCTGAGGTGGCGGTGGCGAGATCTCAGTGGGGTGGGCAGCCTGGCATTCACGGAGCCCAGGGGTTCTACAGCGCTTGTAGGGCTTAGCGTTTGGCAGGGGACCTACATTCAATTTAAGCAGCCTTTGGTAACACTCAACACCACTACATCTGCCACCGTCAGCACAAGCTCCTCCACCGTCACCAGCATCATCATCAGCATCATCACGAAAGTCGATAAAAATCCTCCCCTCTACAAGTTATCCTCACTATAATCACCACAGCCATCCTCGTCGTTTTCCCCACTATCTTCGAGCTTGGCACGAAAATCAGCGATTTTATCCATAGTTGAAAGGCAGAAACTCATTGCAATTATCCGGATACATGCAGCACATGTAACTACAACAGAAGTCAAGCAGAAGAAGATGTGTGTGTATATATATACATATATATATATATAAATATACACACATATATATATATATATATCCAAGGACTGAGTTTCACGTTTAAGGCTTTGCCCTGTAGGTTAACCACCCCAAATCTAAGGCAAGAAACGGGCTTGTCGCTCTCTCGCTGTCTATATCGATATGTGCTTCTCTCTCCCTCTCTCTCCCTCTGTCTCTCTCTCTCTCTCTCTCTGACTGTATGTCTATGTGTGGTTCCGGGCATAGAAACAACACTATTGCCTACTTGCGAGGGTGCCAGGCTAATGACATCTCATTGATGGTAGCGCTCCTGAAGGATATCAGGAACCAGCTCAAGTGTTGAAGCAACCATCACGAGACCTATAGACATGTCAACGACATGTGTGCGATTTACGATGCCGGGGAGGAAGCCCAATCCACCATGGATAGACGCCCGCGGCCAACAGCGAAGTCAGTTTCACTAGCTCATGGTAAGCACAACCCTTCAGCCATCGCCTTGGGTTGAGGATTTTCTCTGTTCCCCATGGGCCCAAGCACCGATTAATCATATACCAGCAATGCGTACTAAGCTTCAAAACAACTATGTAATCCTGAACCCAAGTACCTAATTATCACCTCCTTCGGACTCTTAAAACCGCTTGTACCCCGAAAACCCAAACCCTAAACCCTCAAAGTTTGACATCGCCACGCGCTCCAAACCCTGCTTCAAAACGAAAGCCCTAAAGCTTTAAAGAACAAAGCTCTGCACTCTGAGACTTGAAAGCATCAAGCTCAACCCTCAAACTTGAGACCTTAATTAGACTCTAGAGAAAAAAGTCTAAAGCCCGATAACCCACGCTTATGCTGCAAAATCCAAAGCCTTCAAAAGGTCGAGCCCCGAGCTTCGTATCCTCAAGCTTGGAAACCGAAACCTTTCAGGGGCTTAGGGTTTAGGGTTTAGGGCTTATAGGGTTTAGGGGTTTTTAGGGTTTAGGGTTGACGGTGCAAACCCTCCAACTTGTTTGACATCCTGAACTCCGATAGCCCTAAGCCCTCAAAACTGAAACCCCAATGACCCTTTAGTAGCGGGTAGTATTTACACTTTTTGACACCTAGAACCCTCAAGCAACAAATCCTAAAATCCAGTCAGAATATCCTTGCAGGAACCGTTCTAAGCCCTAAACGCTAAACCGGAAGGAACCCCTCCAACCCGCTTTTGCCCGAGGCGCAGGGGGATAAGACTCCCCCTCTTCGCCAAACTGCTTCAAGCGCTCCTCAGGCAGTTTTCGCGGCCAATAACCCAGAGAACCCAATACCCATTAATTAAGGAATATGCCTTATATTACAGGGGCCTTAACATTATGATTTAAGGTATATTCCTTAATTAAATGGTTCGGGCTCTGTGGGAAGATTTAGGGTTTATAGGTTCACTTGAAAGATTCTTCAAGGGCTCCCTGAAGGACTCAGGTTTTCCCAGAAGGTCCTAAGTGCCTCTACAGAAAGTAGGGTCTCTATAGTAGTAGTTACAATTATGGTTTGGGTAAGTATCCCCCATATAATAGGTACCTAGGACCCTGACAGCTTATAGGCTCGCCTGAAGGAGTCGTTGAGGGTTCCGCGCTTCGAATTTTCTTACACCAACATAGGGGTCCCTGACCAGCATTAAAATAGCCCAAAAGCCTTCTATAGTAGGGTCTTGAGGCCCAAAAGCCTTAAA